GCGAGTATTGACCATTGCTCATATACCGCTACACAAGATGATGACAACGTGCCCGAAAACCCCACGCACGCAGCGTGCACGCAAGCACATACCAAGGGTTGGCGCAAGGACGAAAAGTATCTTGTCTTTGTGCACTATAGTTTTAGTACAGGTCCCACGAAAACAAATTTCAATAAGACCCTGCAAACGCAAGCTTCGCACAAGCGCATGCCAAGGGACGTCTCGGGGATCAGGAATATTGGACGAGCCCCTTAAATCAAAACACCCCAACAATGAGATGATTGGAGCCTCATGATTTGCCGGATCATGGCTCTTTCACGGGCCAGTTACAACCCGATGATAACTTCAAAGGTCATTCTGCCACGGCATTCTGGCAAGCTGGAACAGATACCCCTGCTCTTAACTGGACCATGTCCATGCTTCAAACCTGCGTTTGCTGAGAAGCCTTCCAGACAGCTGACACAGCTCTTATCTCCTTGTTCCCGTCACCTTTCTCAAGGTAGAAGTCTGACACAAAAAATACAAGCCCTGGGCACCGAAGGCCCGAGAGCTCAACAATCAACCGTGTACGAACACTGAAAGCCATGAGGTACCTCACCAAGCTCAACACCACTTTGTCTGGTCCATGTCCTGGACCTGCAGAAGCGGATGATTTCTCGAATTCAAGCAAGCTGTGGCGTTCAACCGCTTAGAGGAACCATGGTCCAGAAAGAAAAAGGATCCATGGTGAAATGCTTACTCGGCAAGAAACGAAAGCAGTTCTCTTCGGGTCAGTTGCTGATCATGCTTGAACTTGAATATGGTGCGCCTCACCACCTCACTTCATGACTATCCTGATCTAGCCTGTGCATGTGTTTTGCTGTCAACGTGTCTAGCTTTTGGCAAAATGTACACCAAATACAGAACTGCGAAGGGGTGAAGCTGCTGCGAGGAGTACCACATTGCATTGTTGGGCAACACATTCCTTGATTTCATGACTTGCTTTGTGAGCAAGGGCTGATCTGCAGCATACCATCGCCACTCCAGTCGCTAAACAGTCCAAGTCTCCTTGGTCGTCCACTGGATACCGCAGATCAGGGAGCACAGCTGTGCAAACCTGCACTGAAGCTGAAAAATGTATGTTTCTGGACATCTTTGGAAGCTAAGAACCGACCTGAGGAGATGTAATTGACAGGACCTTATCATCACTACATGGTATGAAGTATTAGTGATGAGGGATCATGGGAGGTGCATGCTCAGCTGGCCAAAACGTTTGCACGCACAGAGCCACCGCTTGCCGGCAGGGATTCTTGCAACGGCCAGCTAAATGTATCCTTCAATCCAGATCCTAGCGTCACAATGACCATCACAATGCGCTGCACGTCAGAACACAACAACGTTCCTAAAGCTGCTGAATCTTGCTGCCAGGCAAGTCTCATAACGATGACTGTTAATTTGTATCCCCAAGAGACACATCCCGGGAACATGAGCAATGCTTCACAACCTGAAGCCCAAATCAAAGCACTTGAATCCAAACTGTGAAGCGAAGTCCCCATCCCCAAAGTTCCCGACTCACGAATCATGCCCACGTTACGGGACACTTCGCATCAACACTACTTCAACATCCCCGCAACCTCGTCATTGCAGGAGAGGACACCCCTTTTTTAACATTTTTTAACATGACAAAGGTGCTCCACCCTCACAAACCTTCAAGTCCCCACGATTCAACGGCAAACCGGTCCTGTAGCACTCCCGGAATATAAAACGTAGGAAATAGAAAAGGCCGTCCCCCGAGCAGCTATTCAAACAAACAACTTCTACTTACAGCAAATGCTAGGGTGCTCGCCACGGCTGTCGATCAAAGCGCGCGATGAGCTGCGCGGACAGGGCTTCCCGAACCTGTGTCTTTGGGTCTTCACAATTGGACTCGATGGGGTTTTGAGAGTCAACAGGCTGGGAGGGGCTTGTAGACACGTTGTCTCTTGAAGATTATGAGGCAACTGCAAATGCTGCGGCTCCGCAGGCTTCATGCTGCTGTATGAGATATCAACTGACATATGTGAGCAATCTCCAAGATCCAGGCAAAACGCCTTGACTTCCCAAAAGTCCAGGCCCTCCACTACCCTACTTCGAAAATAGACAGGGCTTCCAGAGTTTGGCCACGACAAGGTTGCCACCGACGCATCCCGGTCAGACAAACAACTTGGAAACCCTGCAGCTCATGCTGGGTTTGCAGCGCTGTGGTTGGCTTTGGATGTCATTTACAATGAAGAACATGGACGACCCGGCACCTCGAAGTACAGTAGCTAAATCTATATATACATTGGCATCAATGCCGCGCCTTCTCCCTACCGTACATAGCCAGCAGCGACAGGCGCGCGGAAATTGGAATCACGTGATCCTGACGTCGAAGCTCGCACACTGGCTTGGGTGCCAAGTTTTGGTTTCCAGTCATCGACGGGTTTAATTTAGCTGCCCTCGTACAGCGTTCACTGGTCCATCCAGAATGGTCCATTGCGTACCAAGACCAGGTTGCTACCTCGAGCAGTGTCACGGCAAGGGCCAAAACTCCAAAAACTGACGGTCTGAGGTGCTGCATAGCCAGCTTATCGAGTACTGCGAGGGCATGGGCTTTCAGTGAAGAGAGTGCATCAGGTGCATCCCTACTATCCAACATTATCCAAAATTGCAGAAAGACCTTGCGGGGGGAACAGGCACGTCCCTCAAGGGTCCTGGTAGATAAGCTGTACTACCGGTACAGTATCAAGGATGCATATGATGCATGAATCTGAATGAATGTTGTTAGTATGATATGGCCAAGGGTGGCGATTAGAACAATGGCACGGCGAGGCACGCTGTTCAGTTCTCATGAGCACAGTTTGCCCTGTCAGCAAGGCGCTGGCGGTCCCGTGGTCCTCGGAGATGATCACGTCCTTGTAGTTGCGGTACTGCCGCTGTGAAACTTTTTTGCAAACGTCCTTGGGACCGTCCTGCATGCTTCGGATGCATGTCCGTGCGGCGGCCGGATAGCGGTTCAGAAGTTTGTTTCTGCACTCACAGGTTCACCGACTGAGTTTGGATTGGTTGCCACCGGGTGTATTTCGGAAGCTGGAGATAGAGGAAGCAGGATCTCGTATCTGAATGTGCTCCCACGTCTTTTCCTTGCAGAAGAACTCGGGGAGCTGATCGATCCGGTTGGCGACGATCCAGGCGTCTTCACGGCGGAGTCCGCCAGTCTCCTGACAGCTTGCTGGAAATCCAGATAGACGCTATGCAAGCATGGCTGACTGCAGAAAGCAGAATACTAGTTCTCTGCTGCTGTTTTACAAGGCCTCCTGCTGACGCAGGCATGGATCTTAGAGCCCAGGGCCTGCTAATGCTGGACCTTTTTTTCTTCAGAAATACCAGCACAAATCTTGGATTGCATGCAATTTTTCCGGCAAACAGATAGGCAGCTAGGCAAAGTTGGTGCGCTTCGTGCCACATGACAGACCTGCGCAAAGGCCTCTCGCAGCAAGCACCCCATCCACTGCCTTGCAAAGGGCCGGGCTTGGGTCTGCAGAGCATACGTCTGTTTTCGAATGTTGGTCGATTGCAGCATGCTCTGTCTCTTAGGGTCCAGTCTAGCATCCAAATTTGATAGACATGGCGGGCATTAGCGGGCCGCAGCTGCTTGCTGAGATCGCGGTCAGCAATAAACAGCCCTGAGACATCTGCGTCCATCCTGCGCTTTCGGGAACACTTCCTGCTCAGAACCATAAAGCTTGCCGCTGTTGACCCAGGATGCGTTGATGGTCCTTCCGCCCCCCATGTGGCAATTTGGCTGAATCTTCCAGGTCTCATTGTAGCACTCTACCAAACAAGCGCACGTCGCATCTTGAGATACTTCATCAATTGCCACGGGATCGCGAGAGTGACAGCCAAAGGAGTGCCTGAAATCCATCCTAGGCAGCGCCCAAACCTGCAAGGCACTGGAACTGGTAATGCCAAACCCCTGCAGACTTTTGAAATGCAATTTCTATTCGGTTGCAATGCGAACATCCCTCCTTGAAATACCAGGTTGAGGGCTGGGACTATGGCAACAGCGCGACTTCAGACAATTGAAAAAACGATGAGAGCCCGATTCGGCTCACCATCTCTTGTGCCTAAGAAGAACTGTAGCTGGTTTTCTCGTTCATGGATGCTGAAAACCGAAAACCGATGGGTGCTGGCAACCCTGGAAACAAGACTCTGCCAGAGTTGCCCTTTCTTGTCTTGAGGCGGGCTAGACCCGCCATGCTCTTTAGCGTAAAAGGCCAGCACCTGTCAGAAAAGTAAACATTGCCAGACTCCCGCTCTGTCGTTTCTACAGTCGCCGAAGCGTTTCCGAAACAGTCTGTGTCCGACCCCGGGACATTCAGTGAGCTAGGCATGGCCTCAGTGAGAAAGCAGCTGTAAGAAAACTATTCTTGCAGCCCGGAATCCCAACTGAAGAGAGCTGATATTCAAAGCAGGCTTAGCTCCCGAAAAGTTTGCCGATGCACAGCTGGGCGGATCGGCATCTTTTAGAGCTCCATTGAAGGTTCGGTCGAATCTTTTGGTGAGCTGAGCCCGTGGCGGGACTTCGTGCTTCGAAGCGTCAATGACAACCTCGATCCGAGCAGGCGCCGCTGCACTCTTTACTGGAGAGTGCATCCTGAAACCGTCTGGCTGCAATCACGCATGCCCGTCTGGATCATCAAGCTGGAGCACCCTTTCATCTTGACATATCAATGCAAGATCATGCGGCCACTTGTGATCCTGGTGAAGGAACGTGGGCAAAAAACTCAAAAGACACAATGATGGCGTAGTCTGCGATAGTCTGTTGAGCCCTGAAAGGTGGCCGGATGGCTCAGCTCGCCCCAGAGTGACCAAGATCATCTCTTGAAAGCACGCCCCGTAATCAAATCAGAGAGACCCAAATCCCTGACGGCAGCCTATGCCCCGACCTCTTCTGAGTGCCGCACAAGAGCGCCGTCTGCCTCACGAAGTGCAGAGCGGCACAGCGCTTGAGCGTCCTCTGAGAACATGGCATGAGGTTGAGTTGTGGGGGTGAGAGCAGGGTTTGGGGTTGCAGCCCTTTCAATTGCATCCTAGTCCAGATCAGTCACCTTCCTTGTCCTGCAAGCTGACCGCGCATCCCATCCACTCACGCAAAAATTCCGACAGAATCTGCTCTGGGATTTAGGAGGCAAGACGCTTGCGTAAGGTATGGAAGTTCCGTGAGCAAAGTTGCGGAAAGATTATGGACAAATCTGCCCTATTGCGGAGAGATATAGAGAGTGACGCAGCCAGGGCTGTCACTTAACAGGCACGAATTATCTGGAAACTGCAGAATCCACAAATACCAGCACACCCATGCCAGTACGCATGTCCCGTGCTAGAAGATTCAAGCTTATCCAGCTACTTGCAGCTCACTCTTGGCCATCCATGTTGAACTGCCCATACTGCCCTTGAGCGACAAAAGCTCTCCGTGCCAAACCCTTAGTGTCCTGTGTCTCCCACAGAGTCTCCGTATCAGGGCTCGGGAGGTCCACAAGGGAGAGCAGCCCGGTGTCAGTGAGTTCACCCTGACGATTTACAGTCCGGGGTCCAGATATGGGGAGCGAAGGGATGGCTTGGGGCGAGGGAGTCTCAGAGACTTCAGGCCTGCAAGCCTTGACTTAGCCGTGTGCCTCCTGAGCAACTGGATGCGGCTAGCCCTGCCACAGCGCTCTATGCAGCAATCTCATGCCCCACAAATGGCTGATGAAGCACACCGGCTAAGGTGCAAACAGCAAACAAACGCCTGACAACGTTTGCTACCTGATGGAATGATGCCTCCCTGGAGCCAAAAGCTGAAAGCCTCTAAGTCTGCCAGCGGCAAGAAGGCTACCTCCACTTGGATGCACCTGAGCTTTTGTAGCGGCCCTCCTCTGTAGAAGCCATTGGAGCTATGTTTCAGAGACTTGCTGGACACAGGTTGTCAGAGCTACAAACACGAATGGTCGGGTGTACGGCAGGGTGAGGCTCCCAAACCACGAGCCCATATCCTGAAATTAGAATTTCATTGACCAAACTCGTACGCAAAGCTAGGTGCTGTTGATTGCTTCACTTGTGAAATGTTGCCACCATGGCCTGGCCCTGACTTCAGGCATGTCGCAGAGCAGGCCGACAAAGCGCGGCGAGTTCTTCTGCTGAGACGATTCCTTCGAGAGCTAAGTCACAGCAGTCAAAAACCTGCTTCCACCCTTGTCTTAAACTAATATGAAGAGCAAAGCACAACTGCAAGGAACCAGAAAAGCTTCTCATTCAGGATTCTTCACCAAGCACGTCCTAGCCGCAATCTAAATGCCGTCCTCCAACCACACCATCACACCAGGATCAGCTACAAATCCCCAGCAGCAACCAAAGGACGGCTCTGCTTCCAGCCCCTTACCCCATGGTCCTAGGGTACGGCATCTGTGGATTGTTCGATGCACCTGCATGCTTCCAGCACGACGAGGGGAACTGCTGCACCATTTCTTGACTGTCGTCTCGGGCCTGTGTGAAACTCCGAATGCAAAAGGAAGCAGACGCGATTCAGGGTTCAGTCAAGGTGCCGCTTCCAGGGCACCAGCGACCGCATCGATGCCCTGGCCAGGAAAGACCGCAACGCATGCCATAACTGGGGTGCAACAGACTGCAGGTGCAATCCGCAACCGTGCTGAAATCCAGGCTACACTAAGAAGGCCAGGTATAAGTAATGTCTCTGAGTACTGAGAGAAGTCTAGCTTGTGCGTCTAGGATCTGGACGCTGCATCCCGAAGCCCCTTCACACCAAACATTTAAGGGCAAAGCGTGCTTGTACGGATCGAGACCCACGGGCTCTGCCCCGCCTCAACCGGCTCCCCTTTGGCTGCCAGGGAAGGTCCCTGTCGAAGGCAAGCTCGATCAAGCTCGGAAGTTCAAGAATCCTTGGACTAAGTGCCATCCGGCTAACGAGAATACGGACGAATCAGCCTTTTCAGCTGAGTCGAACTCTTCCCATAGCCCAGAATTGCACCGGTGCCTCGAGCTCCGAGGCCTCAGGAGATGCCACCAGCCGGGCTGTCCAGGTGGCCAGGAGATGTACGAGCTCCTGGAACAAGCTTTCAAAGTTGGTACCATGATAAGGTTTGTAGAATCCCAAGTCATCAGGGTGATACTGGCAACGATGCGAGTGAAAGCCGACCAGCAAAGGATGAGTCGCCGTGCTATCAGGCTCCAAACTGCTGTTGTCGAAACATGTCGAAACCATTGTTTGCCATAACTTTCTGTTCTCAACAGCACGCACTTTGACCCAGACTAAAGCTATTAACAGCTCTGTCTTGAGCCAGGCACTGGGATACTTCTAGTTTCCAGGGCATGGCATGGCATGGCATGGCGGTTCTTTTGCGTATCCTTGTTGTCCTCATTCGTTAGTCCACCATGCATGCCACATAATTATTCTATGACTACTGCTTCGCGGGTCACTTCGTCTCCAATGCCTGTTTATTCTAGAGAAGCATGCTTAAGCCACGCACGTTTGCACTGCAGACAAGTCGGAAAGAGTCGACTGTTGAATCGCATGGCCATAAAAAGGATGAATGCGTCCCAACATACGTGGCCGTGCTTTCGCACAGAAAGCCGACTTGACAACAAAGTTGCGCTGCTTTCGAAAGTTGATCGTGGACCTTTGAAAAACAGGTGCAAATAGGGGCCCCAAGGCTTAGAAAACCAAGATCAGTCAAACCAACGAGATCTGCAGATGTTCAAAGAGGGGTTCACAGGTCGACCCCTGCATGGCGATGGCTCACTAGAAAAGTGCAAGAAGCAGCTCTCACAAGTGGCCCCCCTGTACAGAAAGTGCTACCTGAAGAAGAGGAGTTCCTCCAATCCTGCCTAACTCCTTGCCAGTCATGACCCCAGCATCCGTTGGCCGACGTCAAGCGTAGTCAAATGTCATGACATGCTCAACTCCAAGACGTTTGGCTTACTTTCTGCTCTATGGTCATACCCACTTACTCGCTGATTGCGGAGAAGATCTGTGTCCACACTTGAAAGCAAACCCATTGAGCATCCTCTTCCATGGTCATTCGCGGGACCGCCAGACCAGGTGTGTGAACCTTGGAGTCAGAGTTTGACTGGGCTCCGGGCATTTCAATTTTGGTTTGGACCTTGAACTGCCAGGGAGTCAAGCTTTGTCGCGCGCTTCGTTTCTGTGTGGCAAAGCGAGGATCCGTGAGGAGTGCCACACGCCCCTTGTCCATCCGAACACTGTGCAGACTCTGTGCATTTGCAAAACAAGCCCCTTGTCTGTGCCTCTCTGCCTTGGCAATCTTGGCAATTCCTGAAACACAAGCGTTACAAGCACTCAGTAGCTTTCACACGCATGTAGCCAGATGCAGAGGTCACTCGAATTTGTGAATTTAATCGCAGGAAACCTGCAGCCGGGGCCGAAAATCTTGCGCTCTGGACAAGGGGGTGCTCCCCTCTCTGCGCCACGCGCCCAACAGAATTCTGTAAGCGCGTGTGCGCATGACTAATGGTCAATTACCCAACCAGTCGAGGCGGAATCTACAAAAGGCGGCCCTGACCTGCCTCCTGAACCGGCTGCTGGCGGGGGATGCAAAATGGAAAACAGAGTGAGCTACCAGAAGCTTACCTCAGGCTGTAGGCCGAGGCTCTAGTCATACACTAGCTAAGTAGCCAAGACCTGTAACGGCTTATCTTAGCACTAGTTCAGGCAGTACGGGCACAACACCTTACAAGTATGTGTTAAAACAATGGACAGGATATGGCACGGCCATACACTCATGCTTTACTTCCCGTATGGGAAGTCCAGTTTTCCTTAGTCCTCCATTTCGATGTTGCACCGTTTTTTACCTTCAGTGCTGCTGCACTAGCGAGTTCTCCTTACATCAACGTCCACCTTCTTTTCGCAATGCCCACACAGGGTATAAACTCTCGTGCATCCGTACCAAATGCAAAACTGTGATTTTGGATTTCGGGGGACTGCTGGACCCACCGCCGCAGCAGAACCCCCTGCCGAGCCCAGCCAACAGAGCTGAAGCGTGCAGAGCTCTCAGAAGAGCATGAAGACCTCATGCCTGCGCTGCTATGACTAGTGTGGCCCTCTCAATGGCGCTATCACAAACTGCGTGTCCTCGCATACGCATCTGTCACGTCAAGTACTTGAGGGGGCCCATAGCTAGCTCAACATGGCAGCATGGGGTTTCTAACGCATGGGTTGACAAGAATTTGAAACTAGAAATGGCTTCTAATTGCTTGGGTGAATTCAGGCTTCATGGCCAGACGTGGACCATTGAACCTTCGTGGCGGGGCTCCGTATTTCGCTGTTTCGTGAGGCCAGCAACGATTTACGGACTGTGGCAAACCTGCTTTACCCTGATCCTGATGCAAGGAAGAAAGAGCTTCTGATAGTCATCGTCCAGCCAGCTTTTCTACGCGCGCGCGCTGACGGTTTTGTCGCATGCGTATGCCCGGCAACCCGCAACTGAGTTCTCAAGCCTGCATTTAAGTTCTAGCATCATTCAGAGCAGAAAGTCGGGATAAGTACACAAAGACTCGCTGCTGCAATAAAGAAGGGTCAGCATCTCAGGATCTTCGCCTCTAATCGACACAACATAGCCACTGCACGAGCAAGCAGACAAAGCTGCAAGTCCAGCCTCTTAGCTCTCTGATCGTCCATTGACATCAAGCATGCTGCCTTGGTGGGGATGCCGCACGCATTGCAGTCTGCTAGCTACCCAGTTCCCTGTGGATCTAGCAATCAACGCCAGGGTTGGTCCCTTCATTAACTTAATTCGCTCCAACGCAAGCAATAAGATCCGTAAACATGAAGATCCCATCTCAGGCCTCGGCTCAGAAGGGCAAAAACTTCAGGCAGCCTTGGCTGCGTTGCCCGAGAGGCGCATGCGGGCCTGGCAAGGCTTTGCGCAGCTCTTTGAAGATGCTCTCTGGCTTTGGTGAGCTGTTTGTTGTTTTCAGTCGCTCAATGTCGCTCAGCCTATACGTCAAGGAATGTGGTGCCTGGGAGGCTTCCCTCAGCAGTGAAGCAGTGAAACTTCAGATTGAGAAGTAGAAAGCGCTTGACCAGCCAATGTCGTGTTTCCTTCCTGGTTGCACTGCAAAAATACAAACACCAACACAACTGCCACGACATTCGTGCACAGAAAGATTCAAGAGCATGAAGCAGGCAGCAACGGTAGCTGGTACGGTACTGCTGTTATCTAGTTCTCGGCGCCAAGGCCGCTAGCATTGCATAGCACTGCTCTGGCCGTGACACACAGATGCAGCTACTTCAAGGCTGGAGATTGAATACGCCCATGCATGAAACGGATGCTTGATGTGCGCTACATAGTTGGAGAACTAGAATGAATACAGTATGTAGCAATGTAGCCCCCTGTGCAGCCGCATGGGCTCGCAGACTAGGCACCATGCCGTCATGATGCAGATTCCAGTTTCAAGCAGAATCTGCATGGATCGGACTTTAGCTGCTAGCAAGAACAAAGTCTATGTTTACGCCGCGCTCCCTCGCAGGCCACCTCGGCGGCCTTGTCCTTCAGGTACTGCCTGGGGCTCAAGCATGTGGATGTTCCTGGGTCCTGTCTTATATCAGAACTAACGAAGAGCTTGTCTCCAGATGAGCTCCCATCTTTGGTCTTTTGTACGACATGCCAACAGAACTTCTCGATCGCCATGGCTGCTGCCGCAGCGAACCTCGAGAGCTTTCACGTACATCCCAGAACTTTGCCAGCCAGGCGGCGCTGACGCCACCGCCTTGCCCTTCACAGCATCCACTCCGTTGGAGACCTTCGCTATTTGATGTTTTCAGAGAGGACCCTGCCTGGAAGCGCTATCTCATGAACTGGGCTCGCTTTGCTTGATGTATGAAGCTAGCCTCTACCGTCAAGCAGCAGCACAAAAGGCTCAAGATGGCTCAAGTGTTTCAAAGCTCGGTCCGCCTCAGAATCTGCTTCAAAAGCATGCTTATGGTTGTCAACGGGATCTGGATCTCGGTAAGGAAGGATTTAGAAGCAGACTGGCAAACACCCCAGAAACCGTCCTTGTTCACAGTGCTCTGTCGGAACTCGCTGATCCTGAGCATAAGATCATGTCACTGGCCCGCTTGAATATGAAAAAAGCTGGCAAAGCAGACTTTAGACTTTAGACCATGCATCAGCGCCCAGGAAGTTGAAGCTACAGAAAACTTGTTGGCCTTGGATTTAAGGCCGAACCTCCCTTTTGTCTCCTGGCATTTCCTAGCCCCCCCCGCCCCCTCAACCCACCACCCAGAACCGCACACAGCCTGAACCCAGAGCAGCAGATATGAATTACTAAAACCCTGAAGCCTTTTGGACCCTGTTAAAGACCGCTGCCGCGGCCCTTCTCTCAATAATCCCTTTGTTGTGGGCCTCGGGTACGGGGACTTTCGTGGGGGTCTGTCACGCGACCGGTCTTTCTGTTACAAACCCTCTGTCGCAAGAGGGCTGCTCAAGGCCAGTCAGAACCCCGAAGTTTTTGGGAGGCTTGCACTTGCAAGCGCCCACCAGCCACCCTCCCAAACGGGTAGCCCCCAAATCCATCCTCATAGGCATTCATTTTGTCTTTTCACATCTTGCCAGTGAACTTCAGAGCCACGGGCTGGGACGAAAGCTCAATAATGGACAGGGGTCGCGAGACAGGACGTGAAGAGACAGACCATATACGGCCAGAAGAGCACGCAGCCCAGCCCTGACTGCCGATTCAAAGAACTGCAACCCTCCTACAGAAACCCTCCTGTACAAAAAAAACTCTAAGCCCCCAAGATCACCCCAAGACACCCCAAGATCCCCCCAAATCCCCCCAAGATCGCCCCCAAGAGTCTAGCCCCTAAAACCCTCCATGGCAACGCACCCCCCCCCCAAACCCCAGGCTCACTCTGTGTGGTACTAAAACAAGCTCCCTCCAGGCAACTTTCGTGACTTGGAAGCCCTGCCCCCAGCAAATGCAGTTTAAAAAGGGTTTGCACACAGTTCTCGACACCCCTAATCGAGCCAGGAAAAATTGTTGAACGTAAACTAAAAGGTTTTTCTTGAACACCAGAAAAAGGTTTCA